AACTTGTTCAGCGTTTCCTGCCGGTCTTTCATCAGTATGCTTGCCTGCTCGTAGCGCCTGCTCCAGTCCTCGAAGTAGTCCACATCCACTTCTTTATATGCCAGACACAAAGTGCGAAGACCATCATTAGCAAACTTGTCTAGATGACTCTAACATAAGCAGTTAAAATACAGAGATGGAATGGAAAATACCAAAAAAATGAAAAATAGACACTTATTATAATCAATTTTATGAAAAAAATTGTTTAAAAAGATGAAATGTTTATATTATTCATTGTATATATAAACATGCTTATAAATAAATTTAATTCCACGATTTAATTTACGCCATTGGAAAGGACGCAAGGTGAATTCCTAAGCGAGGATAACGATAGATCCATATTATGACGGTTGTATGTCGTCTTCAAAAAAAACGTTATTCATGGTAATTGACTTGAAAACAAAATCTCGCTAAGTAACCTCGCTCAAATCTGACCAGAGGATGCCAAATCACTCTTTCAGTAATTTAATAATCAAAGGCAACTTGTCCATCAAGTTGAGTAATCAATTTTAATCTAAAGTCTGCTAGTCAGTCATATTATTTAGAGCTGAATGCTTACATAAACTGTAACTCTCCTTGTTGCTCACAACGCCAATTTAAATTTTATAGCAAAAAGTATTTATACTGGATTTCCAAAACAGACAGTAAGCGGCCTGTAACTAGATCTCCAGATGGCATTTAGAGCTGAAATAAATTATTGGATAAAGACAGATGTGAATGACAGAAAACAGAAGTCTACAACAAAATCTTGCTGACGTCTTAATCTAGCAGTAAATCAAAAAAGGCTGAAAAAGATAATGAACATTTCGACTGAAAGAATGTCAGTTTTTTGCAGGTCAACAAATGTGTATAAACTAAGGAGATAAATTAATCAGCAGATCGTGCATTAAATACAGATATATACTCATTACTTCTAACTTAATCGAACTGCAAATATTTTAAAACATTTCATATCTTCTAGTTGAAAGATCATCGTAACTATACAAAGCATGCAATATAAATGGTTGTAGACGCACCGTTAGGTCAGACTATGGCTTTCAGACCAGCTACTTTATGCTACTTTATCTGTGCGTAAAATCTGAGGGGAGTGGCGGGAGTTGTGGTCTGTGTTTGACTAAGATGTTCTACTGAATGCTGTACTGAAAAACATTCATCATTTTTGTGAAAACTTAAGTATGTTCTTTCAAACGCATTTTTAATTTCCGCCTCGTTACTTCTAGTTAGTAGTTTGGATATTTCTCGCAAGCAACTTTAGAAACTACCTAACTCTTTCAATTAGGTTGGGTATTTCGAAGTCTCTTAGAGAAAATGCCTAACGTTTGTCTTTCATGTAAATTACATCCAAATCATTTTTCAAATACGTCATTAAGAATGGCGAAATGGAAGGACGATGAGGTAAAACAACTAATATGTTATTCAGTCTTGTTCTTTGGTTTAGTAGATTAGACTAGAATATAAAACAATGGGTAGGATGAAACTGCAGACAAACAGTCAGGGTAATACTGTGGAATTTGACGTGCTGGTTTTACCTAACATTATCGTACATGAATTAGCAAATTTACTAGTAACACAATACGAAACCGAAAATTAGGTGCTCACCTGTGTGATGGCCTCCAACTCGGCTGCAGAACTCTTAGAAATCCGCTCGAAAATCATAGTATCGGCACCCTTACAGTACAGCGTCACTTTCCCATCCTTTTTCACCAGCACGGACATACGTTTCCGGTAGTTGTTGAAATCAAGAATGCATTTCAACTCATACGTTTCTTCGACGCCCATCACCTCGATCATAATCGAATCGGGAGTGCGAGACTTGAATACGTAGCCAAAATTTCTGGCGGCGCCGACCAGCGCCGCCTCGTCCGGACTTTGAGCCATGTACTCCAGTTTGTTGTTCTTCATCTCGGACATAACCGTGTGACAAAGCGATATAAGGCGCCAGAAACGGTCTGTATCCGGGTTCATGCTCTTCGTTTCCGTGTACAAGCTCTGGTCGTAAAAAACAAATTTCGGTTCATACCATCTATTGTCGCTAAAGTCTATCGGCTTCAACTTCTGAAAAAGGAAAAACGCCCTTTTAGTTCCAGAATTACAATGTATGGGAGATGACTATTAGTATTAATTAGTTCATTAGCATTTACAGTCGAATCAGCTAACAACAACAGCAGGGATAACATCTTTTACCATTGTCACATTGAATAAGCAGCTATCAGTTTAGTCAAGGTGAATGATAGTTCCATGAGGCGCTCGCATCAGACAGCACGGCCGTACAAATCACCTATTCTGGTATGACTATGCCACAACACCATGCTGTCCTTGCAGCTCGCAGGTCAGCGAGATGCTATCTGTTTCCGAGGTGGTTGCACGGAAGCAACGTGGGGTGAATTTCCTGTTTAGAAAAATCATATCAATGCAGTCAAGATCATTCGATACAAGCGATGAATTGGCGATCTTCATGGGAAACGTGCGAAAGAAAAGATACGGAAACTTAAGGAAACAGATCATAAGACGATTCCCATTTACGGTGACAAGGAACGAACAACAATATTTGCCAAGTTCAAATTGATGATTTGAACAAGAAATCATGATGCCACAGAAAAGACTTTTGGCACAGCCACACGGCAGCTGGTTAACAGGCAAACTAAAAGTCAGATGGCTCAAGCAAGTCAAACAACGGCCAATGTCAGTGAATCGTGCTGATAGAATTTATATTTTAAAAAAACTCAATTATTGGCGAACCTCCATGAGGCTGGTGTTTTAGCGAGTAGAATAGCTACAACAGGCTAAATCGATGACCTTGGTACAGGTCTATGCGCCCAATTTGGAAGGA